TCATATAATAAACCAGCCGGTTATTTAGTTATCTAAAAGGAACACAGAAATACACACATTACTGTGTTTGCTCAGATCTAGGAAGAGAACCACAGTCCAGTGTTCATCCTCCACAAAGACAGTTTATAGGGGCATGACTATTTCAGAGCTACAGATACGGCCTTCAGACGTTCCCAAGGGCCCTGTAGGAGCCTGTTTACCACTTTTTAACTCATTGTTATCAAGCAAGTAGCAGCAGGGTGACATCCCTCAAACTTGATAGTTTTGGGCCCTGTGTCTGTCCTTAGCAGGCGAGAGACAGGGCACTAGGGCATTCATTTTTCATTTGCTAGTTTTTTACAAAGAACTAAAGACTTCTGCTTTAAGGACTGCAGAGGCATGGAGGAAAGCTGGAGAAATTGAAAGCAGCAAAAATACAGGCAAAGTTGTAATTTTCAGAACACAGCAAAAATTGTCACAATATGTATCTTTGGTTTACAGTGAAGTGTAACTGGGGCTTGGGGGCATCCTCTGCCTTCTTGTCTTGCAGAACAAACCAAATGCAGGGTCTGCAAACTGCAACTTGAAGGCAAATCCAACCCACTGCTTTTTATTTTATTTTTTTGTGTAGCCTGGAAGATAAGAATGCTTTTTGCATTCTTAAGTGACCAAAAAAATCAAAAGAAGAATTATATTTCAGGACATGTAAAAATTATATGAAATCAAATTTCACTTTCCATAAGTCACATTTTACTGGAGCATACGACCGTGCCCGTTCATTTATATATTGTCTCTGGCGGCTTTTGTACCGCAATAGAAGAGTTGAGCATTGGTGACAGGGACTGCGTGTGGCCTGCAAAGCCTGAAGTATTTACTATCTGGCCCTTGACAGAAAAAGTTTGCTGACCCCTGACCTAGTACTCTGCTTAGTTCAAATCAGCACTCAAATAATTGCCAGGCAGTTGAACAGTGGAATAGTAGACGTCCTTCCTTTCTGACATTGCCAGGAGGGGGCAGGATCTGTCAACCTCAGGGCACCCTCTACTTTTCACCTGACACTCTGTTGATTGAGCTGCTACAGAATCTGTGGCCATGTTCTGCCATCGAGTTTCAGGGACTAGCCCTTTGGGTGAGTCTGGCCTGCTCTGGCCTCCGGCCTTCTCACATGTGGCCTGTTTTCAATATCCTTATTCTAGAAACCCTGCCTCTCAGCCTCCCTTCCTTCCCTTTGGAATACTAACGGCCGGCATACAACTTACACCAGGCCAGACACTGTGTGCTAAACCCTTTATCTCACTCATCTCTTAGGATGAGACCACCCTAGGGGGTAGGCATTATTAGTATTATTTCCATTTTACAAATGGGGAAACTGAGGGTCAGGAAGAAGCAATAACATATGCATGTCACACACCAGTAAGTAGCAGGGCCAGGCTCCAGACCCAGTCTTCTGACTCCAGGGACTGTGTTGGTGGCCGTGGGGTCTGGGGGGCAGCAGCAGCCCAGGGCCCGTGAGGCTTTTCCATTCTCCTTCCACTTCAGAGTTCTGTCCTTGGGTCACCTCCCACTGCCGCTGCCACACCCAAACCCAGGGGTTTGCCGATTCTTTTCCTCTTTGGAGTGTCTTCAAAGCCACTTTTCTCTTATTTTCTCCTCAAGCAACTGAGAGAGGATTGAACCCTCATAAGACACTTTACTAAAAACATAGGGGGAACCAGAGGAGAGAGAAACCAGAACATTTCTAAAAAAATTGTTTTCCACCTGAGGTTGGTGGACAGAGCACTTTGCAGTGCCACATCCTGAGCGGGGAAGGGTCCATACCAGACACGTTCCTCTTGAAAGCTCCTGGAAGTCTTTTCATTTTGCTGCTTGCAGGGATAATCCCTAAAGGCCTGGGTCGGAGCTGTCAGTAGAGAGCTTCTCCCAAACCAAGACAGGCCAACATTGACTTCGGCACTCGCCAGCTCCACCCCTGCCCTGTCAGGAGTCCTTCTGCTCTGGTCCTTCACTGCACACCTTTTCTGCCATCTGATGCTCTTTTCTGCCCAGGCCTGCCCTTCCTGGGCCATGTCCCAGGCTCCAAAATGCTTCCATCTTCCTTCCATTAACAGAGTCTTCTGGTAGTGAAACATGTTACTTCTCCCCAGTGACACCTGAGATGAGCATTTCCCCACAACCTTTACCTCTTCTTTCACTCCAAAATGCTTCCATCTTCCTTCCATTAACAGAGTCTTCTGGTAGTGAAACGTGTTACTTCTCCCCAGTGACACCTGAGATGAGCATTTCCCCACAACCTTTACCTCTTCTTTCTCAGGCAACTCCTCCCTGCAGTCTACAATTGGGTGCAGAGAGCTCCCCCAGCCTTCAAACACAGAGGACGGGCTCCTTAGCCTTTCCACCCTCCCTCCTGCTCCCACAAGCCAACCTTTCTGGGTAGGTAAGAAATTTCTCACTCCTCTCACCTCTGCTTCAAGATTTCACTTATCTCCTGGGAGTGGGGTTAGGGGCTCTTTCTTCCTTCCCTTCCACAATTGCTTCTGATTTCTGCCTTTGGTTTCTTCTCTCCTTCCTTTAGGCAAGACATGTTTTAGGTTGGTTGAATTTCCAGTTTTTTTTCCCCTTATTAAATAGATGTTTCTTCCCTAGGAGCCCAAAGTAAAAGGTGAGAGAATAAGGAAAGAGATTTCCTGCAGAGTAAAATCAAAGAAAAGTGGGAACCACTGTGGAATTTTAGCAGACACTGAGGTAGTTAGAAGAAGACGATGTTGGATGTGAGACAAGCTGCTGCCCTTCAAGCCACAGCCCTTAGGTGGCTGTGACTGCCAGTCTGGCCTTCATATGTGAGGACTCAGCCAGGAAGAAAAGAAGCCAGACGCCCTGCCTGTGTACTGGGCCTTCCAGATTGGATCCCTTATCAACCAAAATCCCCTTAGCTGCTCCACATTGTAGATGAATATCCAGAGTGACTTTGTGGGTAAAGGAATCCTTCACATAACAGCTTTCAACCTCCCCAGGCGTGTGGAGAGAGGGAGATCATGTAGGGTTTGCAAGTGGGTTCCAGAAAAGATACTGGAACACCAGCAAGCCAAGCTTTGCATTTGGTCCAGCAGAGTCCAATTTTTGTCTTCATTTGGGACTTCTGATTTCTGTCTAAAGCCAACCAATTTGAAGACCAGGTGTTCTGGTCTTTTCTGGATGCTTAGTTGGGTTTTACATAAAGGAAAAAAGAGAATTGGAGAGAAGGTAGGGCAATGTACAGCACTGATAAGGACGTTATCCTTGAAGCTGTTGTTAGCTCACTGCTTGCTGCCTTGGGCTCTTGCAAACAGTGAGATGATATGTCTTCATAATAAGCATGGAGAGGAATTGTCCATTTTATTATCTTGGCATGGTTCATATTAATGTAATTGTGACTTTAAATCAATTTTCTCTTTTTCTAGTAGGTGTGCCCTTTTATCAGTGTGTACTATTTGGAAAAAATGTATATTTCTCTATTCTTCAGGAATTGAAATAACTTCAAAATCTAATTTGTCTTACTATAAAACTATACTAAAACTTTAAATAATTATATAAATAAATATCACTTAAGAAAACGATCAAAATTGTGTTTTCATTAGTATTTTACTTTCCAGTTAAATAAATCCTAAGTTGTCTGAATTTTAAGGGGATATACGTGAGTGAGTGTGTGACTTTTTGCAGTCTGTGGGTAGAAGGGACTCTCTCTGAAATGTCTGCTTGAGAGCCTAGCAGCTTGGAATTCAGGCTTTGCTACTGACCTTACATTTTCATTTGCAACATACCTAAGCGTCCTATGATGAGTAGCATTCTTCCCACGTCTTCCTCAGTAATTGTGCCTTTCAAAATATCTGATAAGAGAAACAGTGAAAATCCTAGCTTTTCAGTTCCAAGATATCTGAGGGCGGGGTGCTTATTTCGTGAACAACCCCCTGCGACGGTGCCCACGGCATCCCTCTTAAGAGTGACAGTAAAGAGTCATGTTTCCTTCCCACAGCCACTCCCAGCTCACCTGCCCTGGCCCCACTAGTTTCTTCCAGGTGTCCCAGAACTGGTCAGGCCAGAGGCATGGGTGTCACTTGTCGCAGTCAGGAGCTAAGCCAAGTAGATGTTCCTTTGGCTTTACCTTCCTTTCTGCTTCCCGCTCACTTCACTTTTTTCTTTCATTTTTCCTTTTTCCTCTCTTCCCACTTCGTCCCCTCCATTTGGAAAAATAAAGCATCCAGTTGGCCATCGCCCATGTATCCACCTGCCGTCCTATATTTCATCTTTATCTCTAACAACCTCCCTGAAATATTGGTCTTTACACTCTCTCTCACTTTTATCAGCACCTTCTCTGGAAACTTCTGGAATCTGGATGTCACCCTATTACTCCACTAATAGTACATGTGACCTGCATCCAGTCAAATCCAAAGCCTTTTTCTCCACTCGTCACTTTCCTTGGAGTCTGTGCATCTCTTGGTCATTTCGGCCAGGCTTTCTTTCCTGAATCACGTTTCTCTAGCGGCTGGGGTTCCCCTTCTGCCACTGGGGGTCCCCTTCTTCTGCTGCTGGGACTGCAGCTGGGCTCTTCACTGACGCTCCCTTCCACAACCGTGGCTTAGCAGGGTGTCTTAAGTAGGGTGACCACACAATTTTTCATCTAGACCAAGATATCCTAGAGAATTAAAGAGTGCCCAATTGACAACAGACAACAGAGACTGTCCCGGGCAAACCAAGAGGTCTGGTCACCCTCTGCTGAAGAGTCTGGGGAAGCAGAACGTGGAGAGCTCAGGGCAGGATGTGAGTGAGCATGAGTTGAGGAGCTTTCAGGAGTTCACCTTTGAGTTGCTGCTTCTGCTTAGAATCTCACGTTAAAAATTGAGCTTCACATTTATGAAAGGAGCCAGTTACCTGAGGAGAAGTATCAGAGCAGGTTTGGGGGAGAAGAGGTAGGTGAAGAGAGAGGTGTGGAGGAGGAAAAGGCATAGCTGGTTGGACTAGGTCCTGTAGTCCTCCCGGGGCTTTAGTCACAGATGCTGCTTTTTTACATAAAGACGAACTTGGTGCTGAAACTGCTTCCAGGATCTTCTCAGCCCAGGGTTTCCCCAGATCAGTTGCACCGAGTGGCCAGCAGGGTAGGCAGCCATAATGATTTTGCACAGAGTATTCCAGAAACTAGCAGAATCAAAGATGTTGAGCATGGACAGAAACAAAGCAACTGCATTGAAAATGTAGAAAATGAGAAAGTAGCTGGTAGCTCTGATGGCCCCCATGTGAGCCTCCATGCTGGGGTCCCTGGAGCCAGAGGCGTTGCTTTCCATGTGTAGGGTGTGTCTCTTGAGAGAGATGATCAGCAGAGTGGCTGCCAGGATGAACATGATCAGAGGAATGAAGATCCCCAGGTAATAGAAAAAAGCCAGGTTGACCACGTTGGTCTGAGAGAAGTATTTCTTCCCAGTGAGGTTGGAGAAGGGGATAGGAAAGGAATTATTCATGCACACCTTGAAGACGTGTTTAGAGAAGGGAATGCTGGAGCATAAGGAAAACAGCACTGACAGCCTCACGAGCCAAGGCATCAGCGCTTTGATTTTCCTCTTCATGGTGAAGAACAGGTGGTGAGTGAAGTTGGCAATTCTCAAACAGTAGAAGACGTTGAGCCAGGCCGCGAACCACAGGTTGGAAAAGTTCAGAAACACGGTGGTCACTTTGAAGAGTACATACACCGTGTTTTGGTTATAAATGCCTGGGAATAGTAGACTGTAAATATTCTCCAGCATCATCCAAATTTGTAGCAAAAGCCTGAAAAAGCTCAGCTTCAACAGAATGCTGTCACCCGTGGGGAGTCTTCTGCTCCTGAGCCACTCAGCCCCGTAGATGGCCGTGATGAAGCCATTCCCAAGGACGCCAGTGAGGCACTGTATGCCGGTGACCACCAAGATGAAGATGTATTTAAGCTTGATTATGTCCATATCTATGGCCCCTCTGTTCACCGCTGCCATTGTCTTCGATCCCGACTTTCAGGTTTCCACACCGAGAACTGGTATCTGTTTTGCGATCTTCTGACCCACACTCAACGCTATTGTAATTTTCCCCCCTAGATAATGGTTATTTCCAATTTTTCTTCATTTGCTTGTCATGTGACTACAAGTTAGAAGCTTGACATGCAAATGTTGAGAGGATTTGGTTACTGGCTCTGTCTCCATTTTTCATAAAGACTGGTTTGTCTTGGGCTTTCATGAGCTCACTGGAAAAAATTTCAGACAGGTTTTTTTTTTTTTTTTTTTTTTTTAGCATAAAACCTCCCTACCTTATTTATTTAAGTTCATATTCACCTGAAGGGGCAAGAATCCCAGATTAGAAATTTTAGTGTCTTCATGGCCTTTTTACTTGTTTTACGAGATCTGTGTTTCCTGCTAAACTATCTGTAAAAATATGTACAGCTTCCTTTATCTGTCTCCCCCTGCTTTTTTCCTTGTCTCCCTTATTTTGAGAGAGGTTTTTATTCCTATAGTTACTGTGTGAATAAAACATTTCCATCAGCTTATATATAAACATCTTTTACTTGGAATTAAGTTTCTTACAGAAAGGCCAGTTATTATAATGTCCTTATATAGTATACAGAAAAGCCAAAATTGAATGCTATTTAGGTTAATTAGAGACAAGTCTCTGGAGCCTCAGTTTTCATTGTGTGTGTGTGTGTCACCAACTACAATTTGCTGAGATTTACATAACTATTTGAGCTCCGAATCAGGTAGAGTTAGCCTGGGAAGGATTGAGAACATTCCAAACATGGTGTTGAAGTGAAGAAATGTGACCAGACCATTGTAAGTTAAAATTTAATTCCTACATCTAAACTCTGGCTATGAACCAGAATGAACTCTGGCACATTAAAGAAATATAGGGACGCCCAGGACTCATTCCAAATCTACTAAATCAGAATCTGGGATAGGGCTCAAGCATGCCATATTTTTAAGAAGATGAAAGGTCTTGCTGCTTATAGCCAGAACTGAGAACAAAAGTCTCAGCTAGAAATCAGCAACACTCGGGCCAAATTTGGCCTGCAGTTGTGTTTTATCTTACATTGTCTAATGTTGGACAGCATTAGTCCACCAGCGTGTAATTTCTGTTTTTGTTTTATTTGTCAACATTTAAATTTAGGAGCTTGCACATCTGCACAAAAATAAATCTGTCATCTCTTGAAAAATCAGAGGATTTGGCAATATTGGGTCTGCTTGGTGAATTGGTTGAAGCCAAGTAGTGGTTGCCCATTTTAAACAAGGTGTAAGCTTTTCAGTTAGTTAACAATACCCACCAATTCCTAGTGTCTTCTTGAAAACTGGCCGAGTGGTGGCTGCCATTTTCCAGTGTGCTTACCCCGTTAAATTTTTTATAATTTAGATGGAGGGATAATAAAAATGGATTTCCCATCCCTGAAAGATTTTATTTAAAATAAATAAGTCAGAGATGTATTATTATTATTATAATTACAAAGTTGTCTTGTGTTATTACCTCATATTTGTATAAAAATAGCACCCCTGAAAGATTTTATTTAAAATAAATAAGTCAGAGATGTATTATTATTATAATTACAAAGTTGTCTTGTGTTATTACCTCATATTTGTATAAAAATAGCACCAGACAAGGCAGTATGTTGCACAATTAAGAAAGCATTGTTTAGAAACATAAACACGATGTCAACAGAGACTTATACAAGAATGCTCCCAGCAGCTTTATTCCTCATAGCCAGAAACTGGAAACAACAAGATTTGTTGTTAAGTTCTGCATCTCCTGTAATCGACTCATTAACTTCTGTTTTTTCTCCTAATAAAGAAGGGTGGTATTTGCTAGCCACTTTTACCTGTTCCAAAGAACCAAACTCATCTTTTCATTTAACTCGTCCCAACTTGAGTTTGCAATAAGCAATATCTCCCCAAATTTATTTCATATAATTATTGATTTTTCTCTGTTCTGCTTTCATTTTCTGTTGGTTTTCATTCATGTTTTTCTCTGAATTTCAGAGACGATAGCAGAGTAGAGTGGTGAGCAAGATCTGCCTGTGGCCCCAGGGGCATGGGCAAGAGGGGCAGGGAGGGGACAGTTGGCGGGGTGTGGGGATGGATGCTGAGGCTCTGTGCAGCTGGCAGTCTAGGTGGCCAGCTCTGAGCCACTCACAGCACCATATTGGTAGCAATGTGGGGCCAATTCCTGTTTTTATTTCACCATACTTTCTTATTTGGGAGCTAGAATGGAGGCATCTCTGCTACAGGGAAGCTCTCATGGAGTCATCAAAGAACGAAAGTTTCAGATTCTTGGATCTTAAGTTCACACACATTGGTCCAGGTGTGGGATTGAACAGATTTGGAAGAATATGTCATCAGGGGAAACATTTTTCTTTCATTTCTCTCTCAAACCACCTCCATGTAGAATACAAAACGCCTTCCCAAGTTGGAGAGGAAGGAGAGAGGAAGAGGCAGGGAAGAGCTGGAGAAAGTAGGCATCACTATGAGAGGGTCCTATGTCTGGATCCACTCTCATGGCTGCATGGGTGTGTCCAAGGCAGACAGGACTGCAAGAGAGCCCTGGAGTTCCCTGCAGCCCACACACACTTGAGAGAGCTGCTTGTACCCACAAAAAGGGTTTGGAAATCTGCTAAGGGAGTTAGTGGGCTCCCAAGGGGTCCAGGGGCCATATCAAGGAGACTTTGCAAGCTTCAGATTAATGTGGACACCTCAGTTAAAACCAACATAAGGACAGAGGAATGGCCGCAGGACTGACTCTATACACAAAAAGGGTTTGGAAATCTGCTAAGGGAGTTAGTGGGCTCCCAAGGGGTCCAGGGGCCATATCAAGGAGACTTTGCAAGCTTCAGATTAAGTGTGGACACCTCAGTTAAAACCAACATAAGGACAGAGGAATGGCCGCAGGACTGACTCTATAGCCCACCCCCATGAGAAGAGTCTACGTAACCCCCAAGGAGCATAGATGTTACCTCAATGACAGGGATGAAAAATCCTGAGATAATCCAGTAAAGACAGTGTTTAAGCCTGGTACAGCTGGCAAAATATTAAAATAAAGTTAGTTTATGGAGCAGTGTCAACTCAACAAGGGGGATAAACACAATAAGTGTTTTATTTTATTTTATTTTTTTTCTCCATAGTGCTCAGTTCTTTGCTATTGAATCTCCCTTTCCCATCTTATAATAATAATGTGGACAGGTTTCAAATTTTCTAGTCTTTTTTTGGTTATCAATACTCAGTCCAGTTTAGCTTCATATTTGGTTTAAATCTTATCTTCTCCCTTTCCCCAAGTGCAGTTTGAATGGAAACCCCATCTGATTGGGTTGAGTGGAGACAGGGTGGGCCTCGAGACACTTGTCTCTCCCTCTTCAAGCCCCAGCTAGCATGTGAGAAAGAGAGCAGCTGACAGAGTGTCTTTATGTCCCTGGCTGCTGTTGTAAATGCACTCTCTTCTGGTTGCTGCTGCTTTCCTGGCCAACGCCATCTGGCCATCCTTGCCTGCTGGGTGCCAGGCAGCCATATGTTGCCTGTCTTGTGAGGAGCTGGTGGGAGTTCTGGAGGGGGCTCTGCAGCACTTCTCCACCCTGCTGCTCATAACTTCAGCAACCTTCCCCTTCCCTCCCGTTCCTAATCTTTATATAGAGAGACTTACGTGGAGAGTTGCTTTTCGGATCATGGCTGGTTGCAGGAGGGCTCACACTGCCCTCTTGTTAAGCTTTGCAGGTAGGTATTTTGCCTTAGTTATTGGCTGCTTTCTTTCAATCTGTCCTTCTCAACACTGTCTACATGCTAGAATTACCTGAATGACCTGAAGATGTTTTTAAAAACATCCATACCTATGTCCCACTTTCAAAGATTTTGAGTACTTGTTCTGGAGAAAAGCTAAGCATTGGCATTTTCAAAGATCCCTATTGTGATTCTCATATGAAGTGGGAGAGTTGAGAACCACTGCCCTTTGGGGGACTTACCCTTATGATTTATAGTACAGGATCTATGGTTAATTCAGGGGCAACGGGAAAAGTGCCACTCAGTATCCTTCAAGTGACTGAGTGACTTCCTAGAAAATACTAAGAGTACATGTTCTTCCATCACATGGAAGAGGACCAGATCCACAGGTTAAATTACAGAGAATAATCGTAATGTTTTGCAGAACTGAGTATTTGGCTTGAGGAAATCACATCCACTATACAGTGTTAGAAAAGGAACACATTCCCTGTACCCACATCTCTACGAAAAGTAGGAAAAGGAAAATAGACCAAGAGGGTTATATGTTCCACTTCGTAAATTGAAGACCATTCTTATGTGCTTATTTGGCAAAGTATGTAATTTAAGAAGACAGTATAGACGTTATTATGAAATAAACTACTGTAAAAACAAAGACCAGAGACATGGAAAAGATGTGTGATCAAAACCTAATGAGATGAAAGGAGAATTGAAACCTCAGCAAGGTTTGTCTTGGTTATTTTTAAAATAAGCAATTATGTATTTAAGTGACAAATCTGCCTGGGACATCAAATTCCTCACAGACGACAAGTTGCTAGAGAGTATCTACTGAATGTAGCAGAAGTTGTGTGTCCTGAAAATATATAAGCCCATGCAATTGTAACCAGAAATACTGATACTCAATGCAATAGAATTATGGCTAAGAAATTAAAAGAGAAATTATGTGAAAAGGCCTTAAAATGGTGATAGCAGAAGTTGTGTGTCCTGAAAATATATAAGCGCATGCAATTGTAACCAGAAATACTGATACTCAAGGCAATAGAATTATGGCTAAGAAATTAAAAGAGAAATTATGTGAAAAGGCCTTAAAATGGTGACATTGTCTATTGCAGCTGATGATGATACATATTTAGCAATACTTCAATGTAGAAATCAGCTCTATTCACCATCGGGTTAAGAATTATTATATGACTGAAAATATTTTGAATACTGAGTCTGTGACAGACACAACCCCAGGAAGTAATTAAGAAATTAATTTT